GTTGCACAAATCCACAAATCACTGATACGCAAAACGCAAAGTGAGGTTACGTGGCGTACGTTGGAATTATATACGTCATAATACGATTGCCGGTCGTCCGGTTTGATGATTTCGGTCGTGTGAGACGACTAATGTTGGAGACCCGGTCGGAATTGGTATATTGGTTGTTCATATTAAGTCGGACACAGAAATCCGCCATTCTTAACACGTATCCGATTGTCAGCCATTTTAAAATCGTTTTTTGTTTTTAAAATCTATATTCACATTTCGATTTCTAGTAGAATAATATTGATAAGGTTGAGTTTGGGGGGAACCACAGTACAGTTTTATGATTAAACCAGCTAGAAAATTAAAAATATTTTGCGAGTTACTTTTTATAGATATTTTTATTTCATAAATCTACCTAATTTTGAAGGCGCTCGTTGTTTTCCGGAGTATTTTAATCAGATATATCAAGAAAGTGACTTCCGTTGACAAAACTGATGTCTGGATTAATGATTCAGAATTATTATAATATGAAATTAAATAAGCACTTATAGTTATATTCGAGGAGTGATTATGAATCCATTTGTAATTAGGTAGTTTGGTTAGGTTTTTATGTATTCTTGGTAGCGAATATGAAACCAAACGTAACGTAAGTGCTTAGCGATGAATTTTAAGTAACTAAAATCCAACGTAATATGACGTTGGTAATTGGTAGAATTACATTCCCTATTAGGTCAGATACCGACATCGAGGCGACCCGAATCTGTATTCCCCATTTAGGTGCAAATAAGGGTCGTCAAGCGGTCGAACCGACGTTAGTACCCGACGTCGGGTTTATTGAAAGCGACGTATACCCGACGTTAGATAACGTCCAAATGCTACCTGGGTAGAGCTAGTGAGCCTTACAAAAATCCACTATTTAAACTATGATTTTAACAGTTTTCGAGCTATTCGTATTTCGAATGAAAGTTTGCAATTGTCGATTTTCTGGGTATTATACAGGGCGAGTCTTGAATAAAGCAAATATTTTCAGGGCTGGTAGATCTCCATAAAAAAACATATTTTCTTTTTACCATTTGTCAAATAACTCCAAAGTAATCGAGTTATTTTGCTTTAAAACTTTCCAAAAAAATATTTTCTGCATAAAGTTTGAGAACCACTGGATCTTTTTGGGTTTTTCTGTCTGATAAATCTTATCTACTACCTATGTTGCCATATTATCAAGAAATTATGGATTTTAACTAAAAACTAAAAAAAAATCTAAGAAATCTTCCAAAAAATTCCAATTTTTCAAAAAAAAAAATTGGAGAAAAAATCATGTTGCTGGGGTGATTTACTATTTAAGACTCGCCCTGTATATCCTTTAAAAAAAATCGATTTTGTTATTTTTGATTTAATACACATTTTTTACTTAAAATTTCGAAAAAATCTGGATGTTTTAGAACTCAAACCAAAGTCGAATTTTTCCAAAATCTGAAAAAAAATCTCTCGAAAATAATAAATAGTGAAATGACTATTTACCCTCTATGGATAGAACCCTTATGGTCCCATATAAACTGTATTACTAAAATAAATAGCTTTGACATATAAAGTTTTCAATTGAATATTTGAGGTTTTCAATTGTCACTTTTCTTGATATACTCCCATGATTTATTTTTATTTTTCAAGAGCATTTATATTCTCTTTATACTTTATTTTTTATTCCTAGAGGGATGGTTTTAAAAAAAAAATATTTCGTTCATATTATTGATGTCACTAATTAAACCCTTGTATAAAATTTTATACTTCTAGATTTTATAGTAATGCATATTCATACAGCAAACATTCATTCCCTATTCAATTCCTTACCCCCGGTGTTTTCAGGTACGGATAGCGTGTTATAATCTGCCAGATATATTTTATTTGACGGATAGCAGAAAAACGCGTATCTTCACCTATATATAGATAACAGTATCTATTAGATAAATTAAACTTATCTCCCAGATATCCTATGTGGCGCCCGAACTGCCAAATAGTGCTTTATTTGTCGGATAAAAATTTGACGCATGAGCAAAGGCATGAGGAGATATTGATTTTATTTGATATTTGACAAAATTGCTTAACATAACCAAGACATTGTTGTCATTTAAACGAACATTTGTGCTAATATTTATGTATCTAAAGCTGACGGTATTAACTGACTCCTAAAATATCCAAAAACTTAATATATAATTTAACTGACACACCACTGACAATGACAAATAATTTATTTCTGGAGTTATTGTGCGTAGGTACTTTTTAGGTATGTTTTAGTATTTAGTCGTTTTACACAAAGAAATAGCAATTAAGCAATATAAAATACTTCATAACAAATCTAGACCTTTCATTTAAAAAAAGAATTATCAAGATTATCAAGACAAAAAAACCCTTTGAGCTTTTGTATAAAAAACTACTGAGTAAAAAATATACATTTCCGTATTTTTTATGTAAAAAACTAACGGCCCTTTTTACATAAAAAACGTCGTAAATGTATATTTATTTACTCAGTAGTTTTATACAAGTATAGACGAAAAGTTATTACTCTTCAAACCAGTTGAAAAATATGTAGGTGGCGCCCTCTGCAAGTAGGAGACATATTGACATCAAAATCAAATCTCATGTTAAAAAAATCCCAGACCCCAATTTTCATCTAAATATTGACGTTATATACTTCATAAATTATTTGGAAAAAAATCATAATAAAAATGAAACTTCTACACCCTGTATCTCCGAAACTAAGCATTTTAGGACATACATTTATACGAACTTTTTTTCTTATTTTTATCTGCAGAATATGCGGCCGAAGTTACCGGAATACAGTTCGGACCATCCTGTATATCATTGACCAAAAATTGGACATATCTAAATAGCTAATTGATAGAAATGATAAATGTGGAAACTTAATGTATATTACTTATTTACTAAAATACTTGTTCAATTTTGATTTTGATATTTTAATCAAACTATTATGACAAATTATCAAAAACAAAGAAAAGTTAATTAATTAAAAAACTTCTAAACTCTTCAAAAATTCAGAAATATCTCGGTGTAAAAATTCCCGCAAAACGTAATCGTGTTTAATATGGAAATTTAAAAACTTTGGAATTACAAACGACCCGACAATTCTCATTGCTTTTCAAAGGTAGCAGTGTGACCGGCTTGTAAATGAACTCAGTTATTAGGACGTTTTTACAAAACCACTTTGAAGTTATCAGACAGGTTAATTTTCGATATTTTATGAATTTTCTGTGATATCTAAAAAGGTGGTTAACCAAAATTGCATAGACAAAAAAGCGACTAACTGAAATAAAAATACAGGGTGATCCACTTAAAATAGTGAAAAAAATACACACAACATTCAATTTTGACCCACCCTGAATATACATATCAAACAAGATTGCAAATATTGGTAAGCTGAATTTTAAAGAAGATTATACAGTACAGTACGTCTGTCCGTTCTGTAGCTACGGGGTATCAGTGAGAGAGGAAACGATATTCCCTCAATGTTTTTCGTAAAAAATTAGACTACGCGTCCCAGCAATAAAAATTCGACAAATTTGCAAGTAGCCAATAAAATGAGTGGGCGGAGCGATTTGCGGTGACGTACTCGTCAAGTCGACGTATAAAATATATTGTTGTTAATTTAAATGTTTTTTGTCCGCATTCCTTTCGTAGACACAGATCCAGCAGACGTACTGTACCTCCTGCTAAAAAAATATATATATTTTTTAATTTTGAGAGGGTTCCAAGTACAGGGTGTCCCACTAAGAATAGCTCTCGGCTGTATCTCGGAAAGTATTAGCCGTAGGGCATACGGAAAAAAATATTTGTAGCTAAAGGGGCTATGAGAAATTGCTGGAAATTATTTTCAAGTTTGTAAAACGGTCGCTAGAGGGCGCAACTGCTATGGAAAATAAGAAAATAGAATTTTTACAGAATTTTGCCTAGATAATGGGTACTACAAATAATAGCTTCATAATCTTCAGTAAATTTTGGATTTTTTTTGTTAGAACCATTTTCCTCTATCTGCTAAAATAAAGTGGTGGGGGAAGGTTAGATCTATCTTTATTTAAATGTTAATAACTCCGGACTGGATGATCAGAATCCAACAAACGAGAGCTCGTTTAAAAGAGCGTTTCTTACTCTATATTATACCATAAAAATAATAATAAGGTTTTGTACGAAGACGCTAGGGGACGCTTTCTTACAATTTAACAAACAGCGCGTTTTTTCAAAAAAAATTACCAATTATTCTAGTATTTCGTCGATTTTAAAATAAACTAACTATTTCTATCTTATTTTTTGTTAGAATGAGCATAATCAAGAGGACTACTAATACCGTGTTGTAAAAATAATGTAATTAAGGTACAAAATAATGTAATTAAGGTATTTTGGTATTTATTATTTATTTAGCTAATACCTTCTGTTTGAAAGAAGATATCAAGATGCGGTTTTCGCTGACTTTTTAAGCTTTTACTACTATTTACTATCAGCTAAAATTACGTATACTATCGTATTTTTTTTTTTTTTTGAAAAAAACGCGCTATGTTTGTTAAATTGTAAGAAAGCGTCCCCTAGCGTCTACGTTCAAAACCTTATTATTATTTTTATGGTATAATATAGAGTAAGAAACGCTCTTTTAAACGAGCCCTCGTTTGTTGGATTCTGATCATCCAGTCCAGAGTTATTATCATTTAAATAAATATAGATCTAACCTTACCCCAGCACTTTATTTTAGCAGATAGAGGAAAATGGTTCTAACCAAAAAAAATCTAAAATTTACTAAAGATTATGAAGCTATTATTTATAGTACCCATTATCTAGGCAAAATTCTGTAAAAATTCTATTTTCTTATTTTCCTAAAGTCCCTAGATATATAAAGTACCGCAATTACCGCCATATTGGCGCCAAAACTAGCGGCAAATTTAAAAAGGAGGCCAACATTTCGCTGTTTCGACTTTTTAAGCAGCTGGTCGGTCCGGCGCCAATATGGCCGACCAACATTGACAGGCAAGCCGTAAAATAAAATATGTATTAATTGTAATAGAATTACGTTTATTATCTACAGTTTACCTTCATTTTAACGTAATATCAGGTGGTATATTAATATTCAATTTCATAAATTTAATTTTTTAGGCCTATATATGTTAAGAGGTTATAAACGAATGGTTTCCGTACAAGTGTTTTTCATTTGTATTAGCATTTATTTTATGTTACCTTTTAGCGCAAAGTACGCCAACAGAAGTAAGTTAATAGGTAAGAAGAAATAAAGTTAGAATAACATTTAGCATTTTAGTACTTAATTCAGTCGAAACAACTGGAAAAACTTTGTTTGTTGATGAGAACGGGCTACCTATACCATAAGTAAACTTTCCCTATTATACCAGTTATGCTGTAGTTAATTTTGACAAATAAGCATGATTTAACAAAAGTCTTTGGAACAATGAATCTAGGAATAAGCTACAAACTTAAATTTGAAGGCCGGCTTTTATACGAGAAAATTTTGAACCATGGTTGAAACAAATAAATGTATTAATTAAATTGATATGATACATACCTGCTATTTTTGAAATATATTAATATATTGATAGAAAGATTGTTTCAATTAGTATTACTTCAGGTAGTTTCGGCATTTTAGGTATGTAATTGTGCACTTAATTTAAAAATAACTTAGAAAGAAGCTTGAAACGCATAGGGGCTCTTTATGTGTGCTGTATAATTAAGGTTTGTATGTTATGGAGTCATTTTTATACAACAAATTTATTATTAATTGAATAAGCAAGTTAAAGGAATATTATTTCATAAAAAAATCACTCACTGCACAAGAATTTCGGCAAAAATATTGATAAAAAGATCGAAAATACTTTTGGTAGGTCTCCGGCCCAGCTGACAGTTCGCAACTGGCAAAATTATTGTTATTTTTTAGTGTGCTGCGACCGAACTTAGAACACACATATGTCATTGATGATTTTTACTTATGTAACAAAAAATTTAATAAAAAATAATGTTTTATCATGAAGATATGGTTTTATTTGGTAAATAAAAATTTTTTCATTGGTAATAAAAGTGTTTATGGTATTTTTTGGATTATTTGACTCAAATAACGTTATTTTTATAAATCTATAATAATATATAAAATCCTTAAGTGACTGACTAATCAAGTATACTGATTAATCACGATCCTGCTGAAACCACTCAACGTAAGAAGCTCAATTTTGGCACACAGGTTGATTCTAGGGTGTAGAGGTTCGATAAGAAGGGATTTTTCGAAATTCCAGTTCCAAGAGGGTGAAACCACCCCTCAAATATTACAATATTTTTTATTTTAAAAACGGTCAAGTTTCCGAAAAAACGCTTGAACACGTATATTTTATTTTGTTTTTTTACATATTTTCAGATTTTTTAAAAAATGTATACAGGGTGTTTCAAAAAATCCGGTCATTGATTAATTACGATCCTGCTTAAAGCACTTGACGTAAAAAGCTGATTTTTGGAAAACAGATTGACTTTAGGGTGTAGAGGTTCGATAAGAAGGGATTTTTCGAAACTCGAATTCTAAGGGGGTGAAACTATCCCTCATATATTAAAATATTTTTTATTTAAAAACCGGTGAGTTTTTCGGAAAAACTCTTAAACACGTATATTTTATTTTGTTGTTTTACATATTTTAAGATTTTTTATAAATTTATACAGGGTGTTTCATAAAATATGACCATTGAATAATCACGATTCTGCTTAAACTGCTTGACGTTTAAAGCTGATTTTTTGGCAAACGGATTGACTGTGGGATCTAGAGGTTCGATAAGGAGGGGTTTCTAGAATCTCAAATTCTAAGAGGGTGAAAACTCCCCTCAAATATTACAATATTTGTTATTTTAAAAACGGTTAGTCTTTCGGGAAAACGCTTGGACAAGCATAATTATTTATTTGTTTTTTTTACATATTTTAAAATTTTTTAAAAAATCATACAGGGTGTTCTAAAAAGTTGGGTACTAATTTCTTAACCACGATTCTGCTTAAACTGTTTGACGTAAAGAGCTTATTTTTGGCAAACGGATTTTTCGAAAGTCAAATTCCAACGAGATGAAACTACCCCTCAAATATTACCAACTTATATAATAATATCGCCATATTGTTTTTTCTCATGCTGACATAAATGTGAGAAAATTTTATCCAGTTTGTATGTTAAGGGAAATTCTTGCTTTGCTTTATCATCACCATCACAAATAATTAATTTGACGCGTACGAAGTCGCGGGTACACGCTAGTATTATAGAAAATCATGGAGATATTATAACAAAAGATAACAAAATATGTTTATTGGAGTTACAGAGTGGCGCCTCTCATATGCCGCGGAGGCTCCAAGGAGAACGACAGTTTGTAGTGAAATGAAATTCTGTAAGCATATGTAGGTTAATTCAGAGCACTGTTTAAAAATATAGAGAGGTTTACAGGGGGTCCCCAAAAAAAGTTACATATCAAAGTTGTGTTTTTTGTAATGGAACACCCTATATATTAATCGATTTTCGGATTCTGGGAGAAAAATAAAGGTGAGCTTTAGAAACAAAGTATATGACTAAAATGTAAGGATTTTGACATATTTAACATTTTCTAGAAATAAGGAACAATTTTTAAATTACAGTAAAAGCTACCTAAACTGGAATTTACCCGGTATAGCCTAATATGTAGTTAAATTAACTATTGTACTTTAAATCAAATTAAAACTTGATCCAAAAAGTTATACAGGGTGAGACAAAATTAATATTGAACATTGGTCACCTTTAAAAACTTGTTACTCTCTTATTTTACATGGAACACCCAGTATATTATTCCGATATTCAATGAAGAATTCATGTTTCCTTAAAAGTACTATTAAGGTTGCGTACCCCTCAAACAAAGATTTTCATAGATATTTTCATATACATGAATTGATCTGAGTAGATCTTTATTATTTGTTAAAATCTAGGTGGCTGTGATATGTCTGACGTTACTTCAACATATTTGTCTAACTAGTCCAACTTTAATAACTAGTTATCATTTTGTGTCAGTTAAAACACAAAAAAATTCTCAGAAATTTGCCGAAAATGAAAACTTATCCTACATCAGAGAGAATTAATAGAATACTTAAATGCTCCTGATTTTATCTATTAGTCTGATTTTTTTTATGAGGATTTGTTAAAGACAGTGTTTACAAAACTCGGCCAACTAGTATCGACAACATGGGAGAAATTATTGTAGCTGCTTTTCGAGGTAGAACTCCACATAATTCATCATTTTATGCAGTTAACAGGAAGGAAGCATTTTGAGCATTGGTTTTCATCTAGCTAATTTTTGTCGCATAATTATAGGTTTATATCTAGTTTTAATTCTGTAATAATTAAAATATGTTTTGGTTGTATCTTTTTACTACCCTTGAATATTTTACTCTACAATCTTTAATTTTTGTTAAATTAACAAAAGGTACATCACACAGCCACCTAGATTTTTTCAAATAATAAAGATTTACTGACGCAGAATTATAAAAAATCAAATATCTCCGAAAATCTTTGTCGAGGGGTAGGCATGCAACCTTAATAATATTTTAAAGATATATAAATTCCCCATTGAACACCGGAAAAATATACTGGGTGTTCCATTTGAAATAAAGGAGTAACTTGCTTTTAAAAGTGACTAATATTCCATATTAATTTTGTCTCACCCTCTATAACTTTTCGGGTCAAATTTCAATTTGGTTTACCATACAATGGTTACTGTAATTAAATATCAGGCTATACAAGGTTAACTAAAATTTAGGTAGCTGTTATCGAAATTTAAAATTTACTCTTCATTTTCACAAAACGTGAAATATGTCAAAATCCTTAGATTTTAGGTATATGCTTCTTTATTAAAACTCACCTTTATTTTTTTCCTAGAATCCGAAAATCAATTAATATATAGGGTGTTAAAAAAGTTACATATCAAAAACAGAACTTTAATATGTAACTTTTTTGGGACACCCTGTATGATTCTATATATTTTTATAAAATGCTTTCAGTTAACCTACATAAGCAGCCAAAATTTCGTTTCGGTATAAACTACCGTTCTCCTTGGAGATTCCGCGGCGTATGAGAGGCGCCACACTGTATATTTGATTACTTTAGCTGTATTTAATATAATTCATGATAACATGTGTTCATATTTTTTAATGGAAAAATAGAGGTATTTTTAATTGTAGCTGTTTATGGATTCTATGTTTTGTCAAATGATCCCTTTGCCATATTGCACTATCACAAGCACTATCCTGTTATATTCGAAAACGAAACATTACTGCTGCAGATATCCCATTAGCACATTACAGTCCATAATAGCAAATATTCAGTTTCAAAACAATACTTTAAGAATATCTACACATGTTCTGTTCATTTGGACTATAACAGCAAGCTTTTATAATGATTTTTGTTTGTAGGATTTAATATTTTGTTATAATTACATGTTATGTACCGGTTTGGTTTGGTTTGGTTTTTACAAAAATCCTTATAGTACTTACAGGTTTGAGAAAAAGATTCTAATGAGTAAATCGGCCAAAATAAATCGGTGGAAACTATGTGGATACGCTAGGAGCCGCATCTGTTATGGCCAATTAGAAAACGGATTTTATCAAATATATGTAAGTTAAAAGGTATTTTTATAAGTGTTGTTGTGATCAACAAAAATCTGTAATTTTTGGGGTACAACGTCGCACGTCTCATAAAATAAAGTGATGAGGGAAGGTTAAACTTGCTTTAAATAAAATAAGAATAACTCGGGCTTGAGTTAACGGAATTAAACTAACTAGAGCTCTCTCTTTTAAAAGAGATTTTCTTCCATAATTTGCAGTATAAACTTTGTTTCCACAGATTTTACGGTTGCACCTAGAGGGCGCTGTTTGACACTATAACAAATTTTAGGCGTTTGTATAAAAAAATTATAGAGCAGGCTATATTTGTTTTGCATAGTTAAAGAGAGCACAGCGTAAACCAAATTTTTTAGAGAAACCAAGAAAAATTAAGTGAAAAAATTATGTTAGACTGCTGCCTATGCCTATAATAGCCTAAAGATTATAGTAATTATTTAATGTTAAAACAACTATCATATCACTCCTAACAAAGGAGTAATTTCAACTTAAGTAATAATTTCAACAATTTCCAATACTACAGAGGGAATATGTGAAGGTGTAGCCTCCTTATATTTGTGACTTGGAAATAAATTAAATAATAATGGATTTTGAAGACCAAGGTAAGGTACTTTTTAAGAGAATTTTATTAACTTAAATATTTTTTTATGAAGCGAGTAGTTACCACAAACATAGTAGAGCGTTTTTTTGAAAAAAAATAAACTTTGAAATTATGTATCTTTAGAACTGTGCTTCTGTATTTTA